AGGCTGGCCTTGAACCTATGATCCTTCTGTCTCAGCCTCCCCAGTCCTAGGATCACAGGTGTGCGCCACCACACCTGGATGAATGCTTTGAGGAAGGAAGGAAGGAGCAAGGAAAGCAGGTTTGCTGTTTTGAGGAGGGGCAGAACCAGGAAAGCCACTATAAAGGAAAAGTTTTGGTTGCATCCAGTTGGCTAGGCTACCTGAGGGTCGATGAGAGAAAGGAGTAAGGGGCAGGAGAAACTGCAAATGGAGCATGTTTTAGCTTGAGGGAAGGATATCTAATAAGGCAGGGAAAAAAGAATCTCTTGGTGTTAAGTCCCTGAGAGATCTACTCTAATCTTGCTGTACAGTGAGGCGCTGAAGTCTAACGACAGAACGAGGTTGGACCGAAGTCACTCAGCAGTGAGAGGCAAAGCTGGAAGGTAGACTGTCCCAGTGTGAATGAAGGTGGACACCTGGTGCATCCTGGGTCCTCCAAGGGATAGGGCCAGCAGCGGGGCTTGGAGTGAAGTAAGAAGGGAGGGTTAGAGAACCTTCTCTTCTTGCCTTCCAGGGCCCAGACAAAAGAGTGCTCAAAATCGAGGTCCTGAGGACAGGAAGGGGAATAGAGTGGGGATGGAGTAGGGGATGTTTGAGGTGGCAGGGCAAGGGGTCCAGGAGGGAGGGGAGGTGGGCAGGGCCCAGCTGACCCGCTTCTGGTTGTAGTTGACCGCCAGCCGCAGCCTTGCCAGGTTGGGGATTCCCTCCTCGAAGGCTTGGCCCAGGCCCTCAGCCTCGGACTCCACCTCGCTGTCCTCAGCCAAGTCGTTGAGCACGGCAGTGACTTCGCTCTGGTTCCGGCACATGCCCAGCAGCTCAAAGCCATAGTCCTGGCACAGTGACTCCAGAGCAATGTACTCAGGCTGTGGGGAAGCAGGTCTGTCAGCCACCCTGTGGACCCAGCACCATTAGCTCACCCTGCCCTGAGTTTTCGGGCCAGCACTTTATATACTTGGTGTCAATGGGTGACTGATTTCTTTCTTTTCTGCCACCTCATCAGTCCTTCTTGCTATAATGAGGTCCCTCTTGTGTTATCTTTTGCTTATCTGGTGGTATCTCTACCTCACCACTAAGTCACTTCGATCTAATCCTCTGTCACCTTTGCCTGTTCCTTGTACTATACTTCCCTTTCATAATTCTTATTTCCTGACCCCCTTTAACTCCTAATCCTGACAGCTTTCATGTGTTCACTTAATATTTTTCAGGATTATAGGAGAATTGTGCTAACAGTTTTAGGACATGCAGAAATGAATGAGGTAGGTTATTCATGTGACCCTCAGTTTTCCACAGGGCCCTTTCCTCAGACAGGGTATAGGCCAGGCTTTCAGGACGTCGGGTTACTTCCTGGAACTGTTCCTTGGGTGTGGTCATGCTGGGTCAGGTAGTTCCCTTTCCTAAGCCTCAGTTTCCCTATGAGCTGTGCGCCCCCTGCAGTTGCTGTGAGAATGGAGGGTGGTCCTTTGGAAAGGCCTGGCCTTTCCTGCTAGATGTGCAGGGGGAGCTTTTCATTCGCCCATCCTACAACTCTGGGTGGAGGCAGCGTGCTCCTTCCGCAGCCAGCACTGCACATACACACACATCTTGCCCTGGGCTTTTGTTTTAATATCCTTGTATGTTTCCTCACTGCATGGCAATCTTGAGGATGGAGATCACATCTGGCTTGGAACACAGGGAATGCCAGGAGCTAAGAATGGGCCAGCAGGATTGGTGGAATTCTAGGCCCCTGACCAGTCGCAGCCTCCAGGCCCATGCCCTGCGTTCTAAATCCTGCCCAGTGTGTCCTCTACACTCACCACCACCTACACTTTTGCTCCCTTCCAGCTGGAGGGGCTACAGCGCCACTCCAAAGTCTGTCCCTGTCACTTATACTAAACCACCCACCCCACAGCTAAGCTTAATACCACCTCCTCCAGGGATCCTTTCCTGAGCACAACAGCTGTGGTTTCCCTGACTTTCCCAGTTTTGGAAGCCCTGTGAGCATCCTCTACAGAGGCACTGAAACAAGTCCTGAGAGTCTTATGACCACAAGCTTGAGAGCCCCGGAGCACAATGCTCCAGGTGAGATACACAGCCGTATTCCAAAGAGATGACCCATTGAATGTCACATCTAAGTCTGTCCAGCAGCTTTTCTATCCATTGTCTATGTTCCTTCTTCTCCCTCAGATAGACCCAGGGCATACCTAGGACGGGGCTGTGCCTGTCTCTAAAGTCTACGTATCCCTAGTGACTGATTTCTGCTATTACCATGAAATCTCCCTTAAGGTGAGACTGACCTTGTCAAAATAGATTTCCAGAAAACACAGTAGGCCTCATCCTCTTCCTGTTGCTTCCCACTTCCCAGAACACCCACCACAGGCCGGGCCTTGCTCCTGTGGGACAGATACAACAGGACCCGCATGCAGGGAACCGCGAGAAACCAACCTTAAACTCAGGTTCCTTTCGGGCCAGGCGCCTGAGCTCACGGCTGAGCTGGAAGGCGGCCAGCATGGCATCCTCACTGGCCAGGGAGAGGTGGGCCCTGCTGGCGATGCCGCGATAGGTGTTGATGCGGGACAGGGAGAACTTCAGCAAGTCATAGCGGCGGGCGTTGCTGCACTCGAGGCAGGCGCAGGAAATTGGGTGGGGCCAAGCAATGGTGTGGCCCTGGTTCATGAGCAACTGTGCGATTTCGTACAGGTCCTTCTGGCAGGCCAAGGTGAGTGGAGTGACACCAGGCGCAAAGCGGGAGCCATCGATGGATGAGTCAAAGAAAGCCAGCGAGAAAGACCTAGTGTCGACTTTGCGACCCTTCTCCCGGTCCAGCCGGGCCAGCAGGCGACGCACCACTGCCGGCTGGTTTGTGTCCACTGCCACTAGCAGGGCTTCGTGGATCTGCCGGAAATCAAACTTCACGTTGGCCAACAGCATGTCAGTGATGGCCTCATGGCCCAGGCGGATGGCCAGGTTGAGCGCTTCTCTCCAGGAGCGGTCCTCAGCTTCTTCTACGTTCCGCAGGGGCCCGCCCGGCCCACTGCAGGTGGTCTCCACTCCTACCTCCAGCAGCTGCTGCACAAGACCCAGACGCCCCTCCTGGATGGCGCTCAGGAGTGGAGGTGGGAATTTGAGCTTTTTGTTCACAATCTCGGTCCAGCTAGGCTGTGGCTGGATGTTGGAGTGGAGTGAATAGGACCATGAGCTCCATTAGTTTAACCCTCTTATGCTCTTAACCCTCTCTGCTCAGCCACCATTAGTCTTCCTTGTTCCCAAACACACACTAGCAAAAAACATTCATCATTTTATTGTGTAGATTCTTGCGTCAGGAAGTACGAAACTGGTCTGTCAGTGAGGGGAAGGCTTTTCCACACTCACACGCACCCACACACACCATGGGGCTACATGGGGGATACGAGCAAGGGCAGTTCAACGAGGTCTAACCCACACAGGCACACAGGGTCTGGCCAGGACCCAACTCCCATCTTGTTGACTTCATCTTCAAGCTGCTCATCTCTCTGAAGGCCCCAGAGCCTCTCTGAAGGGCAGGTCCAGACAAGTCTACCCAAGAGGGTCTCTGACTGGGCTTTCCTCACCTCCAACCTCTGAACAGGACCACTAGTAGGATGCTAACATGCCCTTCCTCCACCAAGCCATCATTGCTTTGGCCTTGCCTGCTTTGCAGGGCATTTCCTCCCCTCAGTACTGCTGTCCCTTCCTTCTAAGAGGCCCACTCCCATCCTCGCTGCGCTTTCCTTCTGGGCCCAGGCTTAGGACTCCAGGGGATCTTCCATAGATATGGTGATGTCTATCACCTGTCAGCAGCTAGGGTCTTCCTGCCACCCCCTTAACCAACAGATTATTTTGTTCATAGTCAGAAATGGGGTTAGGATAGGGGAAGGCAGGGGAATAGAGGGCCTCTTACCGTGAGGGGGTCCATGGCTGCACCCTCGTATGCAGGCAGGCACTGAAAGCCTGAACTCCTGCTGGTCTGCCTCCCTGACTGCACTTAGCATCCTTTCTTATCCATTCAAAACCCCACCCTGGGCCCTCCCTTTGCAGGGACCAGCTGCTCTCCCTCTGCCTGGTACCCTGGGGGCCAGTAGAACTGTGTTAATGCCACACAACAAAATCTACTGGGAAAGGGGAGAGTACACAGCTGCTCAAAGCAGGTAGAAGTAGAATTTGGAACATCCTAGCTTGAGGGACCCTTAGACACTTTGGTCCCACTACCTCATTGTGCAGATGGGGAATGGGATTTACTCTGTCCTACAGCCAAGCCTAGCCTTCTGACCATCCCTTATTCAACGTATCTGGTCCCTATAACAGCTCTGTGAGATGGATAAAGGATATTTTCTTTTGTTTTTTGAGACAAAGTCTCACTCTGTAATGTGGGCTTGAACTCACTACATAGGCCAGGCTGGCCTTGAATTTGTAGCAATCCTTCTGCCTCAGCCTCCCAAGTGCTGGGATTACATGTATTTGCCACCATGACCAGCCTTGGATATTTTCTCTTGAATTACTTTGTTGAGACAAGGTTATGCTATGTAGTCCAGGCTAGCCTCAAACTCATAATCTTCTGGACTCAGCCTCCTGAGGGCTGGGGCTGCAAGCATGCACACAATACCCTGCTTTTTTCTTTTTGAGACAGCCTGTTGCCCAGGCTGGCCTTGAATTACTAGGCTCAAGTGATCTTCCTGCCTCAGCCTCCCAAGAAGCTGGGGCTACAGAAACATGCTACCATGCCCACTTTGCTTATACTAAGCTTAATTCTGGGCCAAACACAAATTATTTCCTAAAGTCACATAGCAGAGCTGTTACCTGATTCTACCTAGTATAGGAATCCGCAAAGAATACTGAAAGTTAAGTTCATGGTGTCAGTCTCATGCTCAAAACTCACTCTTGTCTTCCCATCTTCCCAGTTCACCACAGGATCTTTTTTTTTTTTTTTTTTTTTTTCCC